TCTTTCTCTCTCTCTCTCTCTCTCTCTCTCTCTCTCTCTCTCTCTCTCTCTCTCTCTCTCACACACACACACACACACACACACACACACACACACACACACACCTTGGTCTGATCAAGCAGGGCTCCCCTTCTTCATTCATTACATTCATACGTTCTTGTTCCCCACCTCTTTGCACCAAGGAAATGCTGGAGAGATTTTGCTCTCTGGATAGGCAGGGCAAGAGTGCATGCTTCTAAGTTCCTCCCTCTCTCCCCTTTTGCTTCCGCTCTCTCTATGGTGATCACAGTTTTCCACATTAGCCTGCAAAACTCCAAAAACTCTCCCATTTACTTACTGATGGCAAACTCGTGGATAATCAGATCTACAAAAGTTCAACCTGCAACAGTTGAGGTTTGACAGTAGTGGTTGCCCTTGATAGTGGAGGTCAAGCAAGTGCTGTAAGCACTCTGCTTTCACAGGGCATCCCAGTGAAGAGTTTAGAAGCAGACATAACACATATTTATTTTGGAACATGACAAGGATGGATACCTGTAATGAGAAGATAGCTACAGTACCTGTTTTGAGCATGTTTGTGATCAAATGTATAGGATACCCATAGTGGCATGAGGAGGAGCTCTGAATATGTGTGATAAGCCCAACAGAACGATGCTTCTTCTTCCATTTTCTGAGAGGCTGGCATAAGAGGAATCCTTCTGTGTCTGTATTCAGATGTGGGGTGGGGTGGGGGATTCTGTTAGGAGGGTTGTCTCAAAGGAAATATTACGTTCCTAAACCCATTGAATTTGCCATAATGAACAGTTTTTCTGGCATCTACTAAAGTTTCCTCCTTTCCAGCCCCTTAATTGTGTTTCCCATGTTACCCGCTAAGGCAATTGCTTGTGCTGCTTCTGTTAGAGACATGGTTTCCCAGCATAGCCACATCCTTAGCCTTCGGAACCAAGCAACACAGAAAGAGAAGAAATTGCTTCATCAGCTTGGCCATGTAAGCCCCTCTTGCTCCAGTGGTTACACATCTCTTTCTCTTGGCCATAAGTTTAGTTTGACTAGGAGGTTTTTAAAAACTAATGTTCTTTTTGCTGGCTGTTGACCCTAATTCATTATTGCAAGTCACTGTCAGTGCTTCAAAGGCTACTTATGAATGTTTTAAATATGTAATAACCATTAAGATATTTAGATTATAAAAGCAGAGATGTGCACATGTCCCCACCTACTTGATATATGTGAGATAAATTTATATTTGATAAATTGCCATATGAACAATTAGGTGCTTGAACATTTGAGTGCATGAGAGAGAATGTACAGGTACATTCTTGTAATAGTTCTCTGAGCAGTTCGATATTTGCAGGTGGATCTTCAATGAGAGCAATTCCCTAGCCTTGTGTTAAAGATGGATACCTCTGGCACCTGTGATACCTCTGCAGCTTTTAAGGGACGGAAGAATGCAGCACCACTGTGTTCATGTTAATGCAAATAACGTTATTCAGTCATTCTAGACAGGCAGATGCTTCCTTCTGTTTGTGTGTGTGTCTTTATGCACTCAGTTTGGAATGTATTCATCCTATTGACATGTAGAAATGGCTGAAGATATATCTAGGAGCACTTCTACATTTGCAGAGGGGGATCACAATGCTAGCATATGAACATGCATAATAATTAGGATGTCTAATTAAGCTGAAACATCATGTCCTTTTAATTATGCAATTAAGATGTCGAATTACATAATTAAGGCATGTAATTACATGATGAAAAAATGTTATGAAATTTTATACTGCTTAGTGAAATTGCATTTTAAACTTTAAAAAGCCCCAAACAAAATACCACCTTTTAATGCATAATGACTTCCATTTTCTCCTTACAAAAGCGGAGACCTGTGTGGCAAAAGTAATAACATATCCAAACATTATTCTAGGTGTTTGGTTCATGAGCCGTGATGAGAAGATTGTTTCTGTGTCCACTCCCATGTATGGGACTGGGATTCTGGGAGGTCCAGGTGACATGACTGTAAACTCCTAATTTTAGTTTGATGATTTTGGTACAATGGTGGTTTGGCTAGCACAGGACTATCACTTTCAATAGCAGAAGATTTCATCTTACAGCAGCTTAACATTCCTGAAGTTACTTTAATATTTAGAGAATTAGTTTTATCATGCTAAAAATATGCAGATGTGTAGAAGTCCAACATCAAATATGGTTTCTTTATTGTATGGAAATACGTAGTTGGATACCAAGATTTCACAAATTCTGAAGGTTGTGTTATCAGACCTCACAAACCTGGTTAGTTCATTTTGATGCGCTCGCAACCATCCTCCTTACTGCTATAATCATGTTTCAGTTAATATACAGCAGGCAAACTTATCTGTTTTCCTCTGTCTAAGATGGTAGGATGTTTCAGAACCTATTGCTGGATGTGATATTATTTAGCTGCTAGTACATTTTTGGGACAATATAAATAAATGTTTTGGCATTCCCAGTCCCAAAGGGAATGGTGGCTGAAAAACAATTAAAAACATTAAACAGAACAAGAAAACAGCATAAGTTGACCCCATTGTTTCTGATCCCCTTAAATCAGCTAGCTATCTGTGCAGTTGGTACGAGCTGCATATCCTCACTTCTTAAGGCTTTGACTTGGCATCTAGCCTAGAAACCAGACAGAATTGCTGGCCAGTGCATAATGATAACCTTGGGACAAAAAATGGTGGTCCCAGTTGAGGTATTTAGTAGGTTTATGATCTATTATAGACGTAGTCATGTCTCATGTGAAGTTGCAGTTCCTGGCTGTACTCCCTGTGTATTGTAAAATATGATGATTGTTTCTCTAGTTTGCTTTTGAGGATTAAAGATTTTCTGCTACTAAGATACTTATCTAGATCTTACTGTGGGGCTTCTAGTGTAGCCTTCCCAAACAAGACACCCTCCAGATGCTTTAGACTTTAACTCCCACCAGTCTCTGGGAATATGGCCATTGGTAAGGAGGGCTGGGAGCTGTTATCCAGAAGGCTGAAGGGCACCAGGTTGGGGAAGACTGTTCTAGTGTATCAAAGGAATTCTTGCATTTCCTTGAAATTTCAGTAAGTAAAAACATCATGCACAGTATTCTAAAGGAGATGTTACAAAAGTTGCATCCTGAGTTATTTGGTGGCATCAGTCAATGCAATGTTATGTGATGGAGAGCTGAAGATTTCATTTTTCAATTCTCCATGTTGTGTCTTGCTTTAATTTGATGATTAGTAGCTGAGCAATCATTTAGTCAGCACATCTGGCATAGCTGCAGTATACAGTGACAGTATTTTGGCACTTCCACTGCTGAAACTTGAAAGTTTGTACTATAGCTGCTTCTCATATTTTTTGAAAGACAGCATGTTACGGATGGTAATTATAAATGTTGATGCAATTGACTTGCATTATTTTCCTTTCAATAGCAGAATTAATTATTTAAAACAGAAGGTTGATGTTTCTTTAAAAAAGGGACTGAATGAATTAAAAGGCCTTTACCACTTGACACCATAAAAACCATAGCTGCAGTGCCACCACCAAGGAGACCTCCTTAGTAACTTCACATGGAATAGGTACTCCAATGATTAAGGTTTGGGTAGATACATGGGAGCAGGGGATATTTCAGGTGGTCTGGTCCTCAGCTTTCAATGACATTGTAAATTAAAACCAGTTTTAAAAATTGAGCCTATAACTAGAATGTAGAGCCTAGAACCTGGAGCTAGAACCTAAAGCTGTGAGCCTAAGGGATCGGAGGAAGCGGAAACGCATCAGTGGTAGGCTATCCAACTCCTCTCCGTACACTATCAATTTCAGTGTTACCTGAATTTAATTTTCACTTTTACTGCATCTAGTAATCACACATAACCTGATGCCAAGATAACACTGATATCATAGGACCCAGGCCAAAGGCAAATTATGATGGAATTCAGTTTCATCAACAAAATGATAGGACTGGATTGTATATCAGCTGCATTTTCCGTGGGATCATGTGTGGCAACTAGGAAGAGGGACAGTATACTGTACAGCGGGCTAAACATTTATTAGAACCTGCAGTTGAATCCCTGATAGCTTGTCAACAGGCTCAAAGGCAGCAGAATGGTCCAACAGGAATCCCTGTGCCCAGATTGATCCCGACACAGAAATAATTAATCAAAGCCATCGATACAGCCAGTGTCCTTCACAGCAAAATCTAAGGCTCTAATCACTTAACATGTGGTTCTCCAATTCTCTCATTCTTCTCCCTCGCTCTTCTGCAGTAGGTGTTTGCTTGCAGCAAGAGCTGTTCAGCTCTTTAGCACTGGCCAGCTGCTGTGATCTGGGCTACCGGGAGAGGTTTTTGGAGAATTGCCTGCCATTCACTGGTTGTGGATGGTGGGGTGGAAGAAAGAGAATGGTGGTGGTGGGGAGCCCAAGAAAAACAGAGAGCAATGTGTTAGGCAAGCTGCAATGCAGTACAGTGTACAAATGCTTCTGGAGGAGGACTTGAATCCCTGGGCAAGTGAGAGAGGGAAAGAGCAACGTGGGCCTGCACTGGGCCTTTTTTGTCGTTCTTGCTAGAAGAGCTCCTTTACAGTGATGCCCATCCAAGGACCAAGTGAGCCTGTCCGAATTTGCCTGCCTCGTGACTGACTGACAGGTCTTGCTTGAAGGATGTGGGGAGGGATGGGGTCCCCAAGTGGTCTTCAGCAGTGGTGGTGCCTGGAGCGGTCTATGACCAGTAGAGAGCTGAGAATTTGATTTTATCCAGGTGTTTGGAACTTGAGTGCAGGCACTTTTATTTTTCAATAAGCCTGGGAACCAATATCCAGTGTAAGATTTCTAACAGATGCCTGCCCATTCATATATTGCAAACATTCCAAGGGATGGGATTTCGTGCTACTGCTGAAATGCAGCTCTCTTGCATTCCAGAGCTCTCTATTGCTTAGTCCTGGGGTTCTCCCTACCCCATTTAACTCTAAAAGCATAGCTTGGTTGCTAACTTAATTATCTTCGTTATTTCACAGGTACTCTATCTCTGCCTTCTCTGGGCTCAAGAAGGTGGGTATCCGGCATCCTACACCTTTGCCTTTCATAGGAAACCTGCTCTTCTTTCGGAAGGTAAGATATTCTTTAGGTGGCATCTATTTAAGTATGAGTTAAAGAAAAGATGCATATCTCTATTAACTTCCTGCCTTTTGAGTGTGTTGCAGATAAAAGTACCATGAGTCCATGGGGAAATGATTGAGAATTTTCAAGTTCACAGTGACTCCTACTTTTCCTTTTGATCCATAAATCTGGTTTAAGTTTTTAAAAAACCATTTATCGGAATCCTAGAAAACAGCTTTCATTGAGGGTTCTAACCCATGCTGTTGTACCGAAACACAGAGAAGGTTGCAAACCCAAGTGCAGAAGAAACCAAAGAAACCTGGAATGGGGCTTGTACTGGTTAGAAGCCAGATTCTGATGAGCTGCAGACTTCCCTTTCATTTCTTGCGGCTCCTGAGTCTTGGTGCTCCTGCACTTACATACCAGTTAGGCTGTATTTCTGTTTAGGAAAAAAAATCCTGTCCTTGTTGGTTTCTGTCCCAGCTAAGGAAAAGAAGAAGGTATGCTAATGAGGCTCATTGCTTCAATTTGCAACGTTTATTTTAAGTGCAAATTTTTGACTTCCTAAATGGGTCTGGAGTAGTTACACTCTTGCACTTCAGCGTAAAGCCTGGAATTTGGATTTAATTTCTGTGATTTATTTAATTATTTTCAACCCCACCCAAGAGCCAAAGCTCTTTGTGGGTGCAATGTGCTTTACATCCTTTTACATTCCTCCAAATCTTTGCTGTAGGTTTGACCACCTTCAGGGCTTGATAGTTGGTGCTATTCCAATTTTCCACTGTGTACAGTTGTGCAGGTTGAAGAGAGGCGGAACCACGCATGCCATCACTGCTGTCAACCTCCAAACCTTCAGTCTCATGTCAGCAAAGCGCACCACACACCTACATGTGAATCTCGCAGTACAGCCTTAATGTCTGAACGGAATTGTTGCCTCACACTAGGCTCAGTTTAGTTAATTTTACTCAAATATGTATCCATGGGACAAATGGATACGCCTTGTTTGTTTGCTTTACATTTTTCCTTTACTGCTTTAGAGCCTAAACTTGCAAGGCAGATTAAAGATAAACACGATAGAAGGATGCTTTGCACGCACGTCCCAGTAGGACTAGGAAAGACTGCTGACTTAAAACCCTGGAGAACCACTGCCAGTGGGTGTAGAGCAGATAATATATTTTAATTAGTTGCGGCAAGTATGGACACCTAGGAGGTTTTAACTATTTTATTGCTGTAATAATGGTTTTAATATATATTTATATTTTGTCTCTTTATGTAAACCGTCTTGAGATTTTGCAACAATTAGATGGTATATAAGATTTTTTAAAATAATAACTAACTCAATAATACTTAGCTGCATGTGCCATTAGCCTGGCTTATTATAAAGTAGGGTCCTCTATGATAACTTCCTCAGAAACCAATTAACTGAAGTTTATAGAGAATGTTCAGTAGTTCTCAACTGCAATGATTTGAAGTCTTATTAAGCAAGCAATAGCCCAGATGAAAAATATTCTTCATATAGACAGACATTTGACCATATTCCACCTGTACTTTCAAGTGTTCGTGTGCATGAAAGTCTTCACATAAAACAAGATCCACATCAGTATAACATATTTGTAGAAGATGATTCCACTGATTTCCTGGAGATATATAAATGTTGTTACAAATCACCCTTCTAATCTACCCACTTTGAATTAACTAAAACTGAAAATATCGGCATGTTTTTATTATAGAAACATTGTGGCAGGATGTTGACTTCAGATTGGGATGCTGAGGTTGAGTCCACTCTCAGTGGTGAAGCTTATTGTGTAACTATCAGCCTGTCACTGTAGATGAGTGACCTACCTCACAGGGCTGTTGTGAGCTTTGGGGCAGGAGGGGCATGTATACCACTCTGAGCTCCTCAGAGAAAGGATAGAAAAAGAAATTCAAAAAAGGGATAGGATAATCACCAATAGGACAATCAAAAGAAAACCACAGAGTTGTCCATGCAGAATGTGTTAGTCAAGAGACGCAGCCCAGCACACTGACTTGGACAGTCCTGCCACAAAGGCCATATCAAGTCCACTGGCTTCAGAATTGATGCTTTGAACCCCACAGGCAGAGCAAGCCTATTGCTGGGTAGAAGAGCACCAAAGTCAGGGACAGCATCTTGCAAAGCCCAGTTAGGCTCATGCCAGCAGGGCAAAGGGGAAGGAGAATCTGTTTTCGCCCTCGGAAAGCAGGAGTCGGTCTCCAGTTGTTTTCTCATGCAGCGCCCACCAGACCTGACTGCCATAGCCAGTGGTGAGGGATGATGAGGAGTGAAGCCAAAACACTTTGATACTCGCAGGTTGTCCACTCTTTCTTTAGACAGTTTCCCTTCCACTGATTGCAAAAGGAGAGGAATGTGCGATGCCGGCTCCAGCAGTTCGTCTGTTTCAGGGATATGGGATGGCCTTGGATCCTGCATATGCAATGCCTTTCCTGGCATTTTCAGGAATTACCCCTAAATGCTTCCTTTTGTTGCTCAATGTGACTGATGTCGAGTTCCCGATCTTCCCACAGCTTGTCAAGGTTGGATCCCTCCTTCTGCAGATGAACCTCTCTCACTCCTCACTCCTCAGAGGGTGAGAGCCAACAGTTCCTGTGGCCCTGGGCCAGCCTTCCAGAGACCCTACAATTGCAGCCTAAATGTGTCCCATAAATACGGATTGGGGGTACTGCAAAACCGGTGTGGCTGGCGGTGATTGCCCATGAGTAGCTTGCTGTAGGCAAGGAGCCAGTGTGTGTGGCGATTTCAAGTGGCCCACATGTGCAAAGATGCTGGGGTGAATTTGCCCTTTGTTCGTTTTGACTAGATGAGTGAAATTAGAACCCTGTAAAGTGCCCTTCAAATGGTGTTGGGTATTCCTGCATCTATACATTATCATATGTTTTCCTTCATTCTCCAAAGTAAGCCTTTCTGCCTTTCCTTTCTCCCCCCTCCTATTTTTATTTTATTTTATTTTATTTTATTTTATTTTATTTTATTTTATTTTATTAGCCAGGCTGTTGACAGGCTGCGTGCCGCTTCCCTGCCTTGAATTTTAATGGAGACATCACTCTTTCTTTAGCCTCGCTCGGAGTGGACAGGATATTCTTTGTTTGCTCTGTTTATTCCTGTCTGGCCTACTTGTAGCTCCTGTGCTGCTTCTTCTGAGTGGCCCAATTCGGTTGAATGGAAAATGGGGCTGTTGTCGAGAGTGGGGGAAGGAGAATGGGCGAGCTTTGTCTTGCTTCGTTCTTGGTCTGACTGGGCTGAACAGTTTTATAGCTGCTGGGAGGATGGAGGGGGCGAGAAGCAGGGGCAGGGCTGATAAAGAAAAAGCCTACTCTTGTTCCCCATCTGCCAAAAAACAGCCTCTGATAAGGAAGTGAAGACAAACAAAATGCAAAGTGCTGTGGAGTAACTGAAGTCAATGCTGGCATAATTTTGGAACTAGTTTCGAAGGACAAGAAGCTGCAAAATGGGAAGCTACATGGACTAGATCTGTGAAGAAGCAAAGGGTGAGCTGAAAAGGAAGAAGTGGAGAGCATATTGTCTCCAATCCGAGTTTTAATTACTGAATGCAAAAACAAAATGTCCACATGTGACTTGTTGGTTTTGCAGAGACAGAATGGAAGTGAAGTGAGAGTACTTGCTTGCTTCTTATTCAGACTTTTATGTGGAAATGGGAAAACAGAAGACTGTGAAACTCTTGTTTCTCCTCCATTTGGAGGAGAATGTGTATTAAAAACTCAAAACTGCAAAGTTGTATGAACCAACAGATTCACTAACCAATTTATTCTTGCCACATGGCTCTGTTTATCTGTTATCATCATATATAGAATAATTCTTTAATTCAATATGGAAGGAAAAAATGAACCTAAATCCTAACCATCTTCTTAGCCTGCTTGATTGTAGTGTTTCCACAGTTATTCTTTGTTCACTGATAGAGGCACAAGAAATCTAATTACCCACCATTTTTTATATTTTTCTTTAGTAGAAGTTTACCAGACTGCACAGTGAAGTTACACTTGTAAATACATATTCAGCTAGTGGATATAACTCTGAAAGAAGATTTGAATTCTCTAGAACTGGGGGTAATTTGCAGTTTAAAAACAACAGATTTTTTATGAGTGAACTTTGGAGAAGGGAACATCAGACAAACCTAACAACCATACTCTGAATAATTACCTAGGATAATTCTTATCTAGAGTTTGCCTTCATGAAATAAAATATAACTGCTCAGTCATATGACGCTGATTCCCAGCTGTTGTGAGACTGATACTGTCTTTCACGCCTTTGTTTTCACACACACAGATTTGAAAGGGTGTGACTCACAATATTCCAGAGAATTTCAAATCATCTCCTGTTTTCTCCCTTGTCTCTCCAGCCCTGTTGGTAAAAGCAGCCTTTCTTAGTCAATATTGTCAATTTTAATTGGGATACAATTTTACTTCCCGTCTGATTTCTGCGATGGCCAAACTTCACACAGCAAAAGCACCCATCAGGAGGTTAATGAAATATATAGCAGAAACATCCTTCCAAAAGATGACCAAGATGCTCTTTAGACGAGGGAAGCAAGAAAGCTGTACATGTAATATCTCCCAATGTGTAATAGTCATGGTTTAATTTGACAATCATTAGCATGGCAATTTGCTTTTGTAAAGTGCTTTATTATAAGCCTTAATGCATTGATTTTCAACAAGCCTTTGAAGAGATGCCTTCACAGCTGTTTTACAAATAAACAGTCTGGACCTCATATTGAAAGCCTTTCAAGTTCTGTGCTCCAGCTCTCTTCCCTTCCCACAGTTGACTATGGGATGCTGATAGGCTCATGAACTGTGGCAATCAGGGCAGTGCCCATCTTTTGAAGGGCTGTAGGAACACAAGCACGATGCTGGTCAGACCAGAGGTCTTTCTACTCTGGCATTCTGTTCACAGAGTGACCAACTGAGTGGCCTGTGACCATGAGCTCATGTCACTCAGCAATTGGTATTTACAGGCAAAC